TTGAATGGTGATAAATTTATAATGAAGATCCCTTAACCAAATTATAGCGTTTTATATTCAACTTCAGGATCATCTAAAAGGCTTTTTACCAATGCGGTTCTATGGGGAACTCGTGAACGTGAACAAAGTATCTCAGTTAAAACTCGTTCTCCCTAAGTGGGCCCCGCTTATGTTAGTTGTTGACAAAATGCGAGACTGAATGATTGATCTACACTGCATATCATTTCATAAATGGTGGCATTAGTCGCGTGTATGCGGCACAGACGGAACCGGCAAACATTTTCCTCCTTGCTAGCGGTTTGACGCTGCATATATAATGAAACATCTCTCGTGGAAATAGTAATGGTCAGTGTCATTTGGCCAAAACATTCACACTTGGAAATGGTGTAGTCACATGGGACTTATTTTTTTCGCGTCCTTCAGATTGAAATTTCTCGCAGATACCCTCCTACTGACAAATGGTGTTATTATTTATGCCCTGTTTAATCTCGAAACTGGCCTTCAGATTTTACTTTATTAAACTGAACTGCAAAGGCGCGTTTTCCCATTTGTTGCCTTCTTTTTCTCGTCTCTGCATCGTAATTCATAATCATTTACTCCGCAGTTTAATCAAGTAATGAATAGCCAACTGGACCAATTCCAGGCACTGGTATCCTTCAGTTTTAGTTGCACTCATCCAATGTGATGCTATTTGAGGGCAGGTAAAGTAACTTTGTGTTGGCGACTGTTTATTAACCCTCATCCTTCTAAACTTTGCAGGCCGAACTATCCGGAAATCCTCTTAAAGCAAGCGTGAGCGATCCTTCGCTGCCTGGGAAAGAGTGCCAGCCACCAGCCAGACCAACCTATGGCAGTGCCAGAACCTTGGGCTACGTTTTTCCCAGATAAATGGGACCTACTAGTCAGATCAAATAGAAAATGGCCACAGCTCAGCCAACTACATGCAACATTTCCATTCCCGTCCCTACCTTCGTTCGCCGACACACCATGTCCATTTTGTTCACGTGTAATTCTCAAAACCTGTGGCGGCGATATACCGTGCAGTTGTTGGTTTTGTGGCATGCCTGCCTTTTTTCAGCACTACAGAGCAGGAGCGATGTAACTAAACCACGCTCTTTGATCGTACCCAGTTGTGTCTTTCATGATTTATGTAGATCTGTATCGAAGTAATCTTTTACCGTATGTTTAAAGGTGAAGTAAAACCTTTGAAGCACGTATTAATAGAGAAGGATCACTTTTATGTTTGATTCACGTGCATTTTTACAGTCGACGTTTTCGGGGTATTCAGTATCAAGTTATGGTGCGGGTGTTTGATCGTGATATTATTATTTTACTTTTTGAATTACACCGCAATATCATTGTAATCCCCTGAATTTCTCTACTTCATCAGCATGATGTGTTTATGTTTGCTTGTTCCTTAAAGGGCCCATGAAACGATTTTTGGGTTGGGATAAATCATTTTAGATTGGGATTTTACTAATAGCACATCGTTCAGTGGACCAAAAGTAAAAAGGTAGAAAGTCAAAAGCCTGACTTTCAGTGCGAAAATTTGAAAGCAGAGCGGACTATTTCGTACCTCCTCCCCTTCGCAACCTCTCTGCCTTTTCACTGTGATACATCCGCGGTCCCAAAAGCGCGTCAACGGGTCCAAACTGACGTCACACGCAACCGGACCTCACTTGTTCCTTTCACCCCTAAGCTGACATTGTGGTGGAAGCTACGCGCTTGCCGGACCAATCAGCCGCCTCGCTTTCATCACCTGACTTCATTCTCTGCAGCCACATTTGCCACGCTCACGTAGAAAGTGTAGGGTGCCTACATGTAGGCACCCTAGGCAAGTGTGGCTGGCCCAACGAGCACGTAGCTTCAACAGCACTGTCAGCTTCGGAATGAACGGGGTGGGGAAAGCAACTTTTGTCTGAATTTTGAGCGACGGGCTAATCTTCTAGGGGGAGAATGGCTGTGTCCGGATTAGACAAACGAGAGTGGGAGCAAGAGGGGACTCCCCCTTTTCGTCTTCTTTAACTGTTTGGTGGAATGCGCGATTTATGAGTTGAGGAGGAAAGCTAAACAGGAAAAAGTTGGAAAAGCGTTTCATGACCCCTTTAAGTTTCGTTCTGATTGAGCGTCTGTATTGGTATAGTATAAAAAAAAGGAACAAAACAAAATTTAATCTTCACTCCTAACAGAACTTGCACACGCAGCATTCGACTCCGAATGGCAGGGAACGGACTGCGAGGACAAGGGGGTGGAGCTCTCCTTCCAAGGAGCCGAATTGCAGAGGCAACCATTGAAGATGGACCAGGAGGGGAGGACGGATGGCGGTGCGACCTCTGCCGCCAATCTTATGGTGCCCACGGAACTAACAACACCAGGTATGAGAAGAAGCACACGGGAAAACAGTCATACAGCCTCGTACCCTCTTAGCACACCCTCACAGATTCATGAACGGTCCCACACGGATAGAAAACCTTTTTGTAGGCTCGGTTTTTTAGAAGGTGGAAAACGTAAGGAGTCTGATGTGGTACACAAAGTTTTCTCCAAGTGGAAACTTCATTAAGTTTTTATTAGCGGTCTGCACCAAACCGAAAAAATATACCGCATACATAGTATTTGATATCAGAGAAATGTACCATGCCGAGTTGTTTATTTATATTACAAAATTGTATTTTTTCCTTCAGTTCCGGTTGATGGAGTAGCTTTCACAAATGCTATAAATAATTTTTGACGCATGAAATAGCCCAAAATATGTTTGGCTGTTCCAAATGATTGAAGCTTTAGAACAGGAGTGGGCAAGCTGCGGCTCTTCACAAGTGCGGCTCGCGGCTCCCCCCCCATGAAAAGTGAAATGGACCGCGTTTTAAATCGAAAGACAGGTTGCAGTTTGGTAGCCTTGTGCTACTGCTGCCTTACGTACAGTCGGACTGCTTTTGACTTGGATTGATTGAGAGTAGCTCGAGTTTCGTTTACTGCACTGGACAAAAGTTTGCCTGCCCCCCCCCCCCCCCCCCCCCCCCTTGCGGCTCTTGGAAGTTTGGCGGTTTCGTTTGCGGCTGTCAGGCCGGGTCAGCCGGGCCACCCCTGCTTTAGAAGTTTAGGTCTAGGCTGGCAAATGTCCACATCATTGTCGATATAGAACCGCGTTTTTTGCTGTTTCAAATCACTCGTAAAATAATTACTGTGTACCTTAGCGATTTTTCAAGTTTCTTAGGTGCACAACGATTATCCCACGACAGGGATGGGCAGTATTTTGAATACTTTGTGTATTTTGCATTTGTATTTAATTACAAATTGGGTAATGTATTTGAAGTGTGTATTTAAATATTAAAACGTGGGTATTTCAAATACAATTGTAATTAAATACAATTTTGTGGGCGAAAATACATCGGTCAAATTTATTGTCACTGTCCAGAGCAGGAAGAAAACTACGTTCTGCGCCAAATGCAGTGTCTCTCAATCAAGCATAAGCGTTTAGTGACTTTGTGATTACGGTGCTAGTCCAGGGCAAGAATAGTGACGAAATTGACGTTCACAGGCAGACTGGCTAAATAAGTGCCCGTGACAACGTGTGATGCTTTCCAGCCTGATTTCCATCCATATTTTTGCCTGGAACATTCTAAATGCGCGGGTCGTCCAGATTTTCGTAACTGGTGCGAGTTGCAGCAATAAAAAATTCTCTAGCTAGTGCTGCGCATCTTGGTCGTCTCTGTTCTTTGCTGGTCTATACCAAAATGTAATCGACAAAAAATTCTGCTTGAAGCTCTGTACTTTTTTAACGTATTACGTCCAAGCTGATTACATTTTTTGTGATTATATTTCTATTACGTTACTAGAGCCTCGCACACTAACTCCCGAGTGTGCGATGCAAAATTAAAATGAAATAACCAGAAACCCGTTGCAGGTGCCCTGAAGTCGCTGAACCAAATTTTGAGGAATGTATTTGAAAAAGTATTTGGAGGAGACCAAATACATTTGACTGTATTTGTATCTTGTACTTAAATGCTTTTTTGGAAATGTAATTAGAATTGTAATTAAATAAATTTTTGACGAAATATTTTGTATTTGTATTTTGATACATATTTGCACGTATTTTGCCCATCCCTGTTCCACGAGCTTATTGAATGCTATTTTGTGTAACCTAATAATCTGTGGGTGTGTGAATGACCCTTCCAGCGTCACTTAAAACACAGTCGCAATCATTATGAATGTCAACACGCTATCACCCGGCGCTTCGTACTGGCAGCGGTAAGCAGCCGCAGTGTTGTAGCCGTTACCGTAAAAAAGTAAAGAACTACGTTACTTGCGAAATAAAGAAACGCGATACTGTCACCGGCAGAACGTAACGCACATTACTTTTTATTTATAAATTGAAGGTAACAGCACTTTTGTTTTCTTTTGGCGACAGCGTGTTTTGACTTTAACATGACAGGCGCTGGTTGGGGTTTTTCTAAAGCGGAAATTTTTTCGCGGGGAAAAGATTGGAAAAATTTAGAAAATTTGTAGATTTAGAAAACTAATGAATACGTCACTACGTTACTGAAAGAAAAAAGGCGCTACCGGTAACGACGTTACTTGTAACACGTTACCGCCAACACTGTGCAGCAGCAGCCGCGGCGGCTTGACTTTCCTTCCGCACTTGGTTAGGAGAACGCGCAAGCCACCACAGCTGCCGCAGCATGGGGCTGCCAGAGTGGAATCTTAAACGATTGCCTATAGACCTTTACAAGCATTACGATTAAACCTTTTTAACATCTCAAATGAATGAATACCTACTCTAGGCTGCACCGGCATGATGTAGGTATTCTGGACCATGTTCATCTAGGTACTCGAAATTCCCAAGTTCAGAACAACAAAAACAGCGCCGACATTTCTTGCTTTCTCCTGTCATCCCAACAGACCTGATCGAAGCATACTCTGGCGACAAAGTGGATACCTTCGACCAGGACAGCCGCAGGGGTGACACCTCTCCCTTCACCAACCCACAAAAGCAGCAAACGCACCGAAACCCGGACAAGCACCGGTGCCGCTTCTGTCCTTACTCATGTCCTTCTGCAGCGAATATCGCCATCCACGAGAGGACTCACACTGGAGAGAGGCCCTTCAGTTGCGATGTTTGCGAGAAAACGTTCACGCATAAGGCTGCCTTGAAGGCTCACGTTCGAACTCACACCGGAGAGAAGCCGTTCAAGTGCAACACGTGCAGCAGGGCCTTTGCTCAGAAAACCCATTTGACGATGCATGTGAGGACTCACACGGGAGAGAAGCCGTTCAAGTGCAACACGTGTAGCAGGGCGTTTACTCACAAACGCAACTTGGCGGTTCATGAGAAGATTCACACCGGAGAGAAGCCGTTCAAGTGCAACACGTGTAGCAGGGCGTTTACTCAGAAATGCGATTTGACGAAGCATGTGAGGACTCACACCGGAGAGAAGCCGTACAGGTGCAACACGTGCAGCAAGGCGTTCACTCTGAAAACCCATTTGGCGGATCACGAAAGAATTCACACTGGAGAGAAGCCGTTCAAGTGCAACACGTGTAGCAGGGCGTTTAGACATAAATGCAGCATGGCGGTTCATGAGACGACTCACACAGGAGAGAAGCCGTTCAAGTGCTAGACCTGCAGTAGAGCGTTTGCGGCTTATAGCAATGTACACACTCATCGGAAGATACATCGCAAGTGATCGAAACAGCAACGTGCATCATAGTTGCGGAAGGGATTTAAACGAAATACTCGAGCACCGACGTGTGTTCATTTGGCTTGGCGATAGACCTGCAGCGGTTCTACTTGCGAGCAGTGTGTGTTTCGCTGGTTCAAAATGTTTCAGCCTGTTATTTATCGAGCAAACGCAGATAAAAAATGTGAATTTACCTTAGTTGAAGCGACCAGAGGTCTTTTTTGTACACGAAAAAAAGAAAATATTTGAAGCCTTATCTTTTTTTATTCATTTAAAGTCATTAATGGCGTGATGCACCTGGAGTCTGTGTTGTCTGTAGGGTCACTTATGTTCCTTACAAGTCGGCCTACTCATGACCATAAATATACGAACTTATAAAATAACGAAGGTCTTTCAATAGCAGCAATCTTAAATATTGCAAAGGTTAAGAAAGTATAAGAACAACCGAGTAATGTGGAGGGGTCAACATAATTTTAAGATGTAAAAATAGAACATTATTCGAAACAATTTAGCACACCAAGCTGGAAACTAATGCTTTGCTCATAGGACGGCAACAGAATATACATGACTCGGATATTTAGAAATGAAGTGTAATTTCCTATCTCATTTCGTAATATTCTTCGTCCTTTTCTTTTTGACCAGTTTGACTATCTGAATTCTGATGTCATCACTCAATGTGCTTGCTACATGAAATACTCGTATGTATGTTTTCCTTTTGCATGACTTTATTCTTTTTTTTGCACATTCACGAAGACGGTCCTCATCATTTAGGATATTCATATTTTCAGTGGTATACATTTGGTCTTCATATATACTCCGTTGCACCTTAGGTACGAGCGCGGACGATGTTTTGAGCCGGGGGACCAATAAAACAGCGCAAAAAGCGCAACGCCATGGCGTGCTCTCTGCGCTTGATAGGACTAGCCGGTGGAAAAGCACGCACAGAGAGATGGCGAATACCGGCTACTCCTATAGTCCTATGAGCTGCAGAGAACTCGCCATGGCTTTGTGCCTTTTTCGCTGTTTGACTGGCCCTTCGGCTCATAACATCGGCCACGCTCGGACCTAAGCTTAAACGAAGTATAGTTTCACTTGAATTCGTCAGGCTTTTAAATATTCGAAATTTCTCTTGTAGTAGACAAATCATATACATTTGTTGAACTAAAGGCGTAATTGACTCCATTGTGTATATTCATGTAACTATGTATGTATAATCTATCTAAATATGTGTTAATCTGCGCTGACTGTACAGTGGTTGTCACTATTACCTGATGCGCCAGAATTGAAGGAGGGAGAGTCCTGTTCCCAAACGTATAAAATATTTGTTTTGACATATACAGGGTGTTTCCGGAAAAATCTGCAAAATCGCTACTGCGAAAACTACGCATCGCACAATAAAGAAGCCCGATGCCGTAGTGGTCTGTGTGAAAAGAAGATTGCTAGAGCTGAATATGATGGGATATTTAACAAATTCCGAGTACTTAAATTGTTAAATATTAGTTTTAAAGAGATGGTTTAAAAGATAATATTGGTGAAGGTGCGTCTTCACTCTGACACCGATGTCAAAAAGGCAGACCTTATGTGACAGTCCGGAGGCTTTCATATATAGACTACTCTACGTACAATGAGTGGCGGCGCACGCACGTTGCGCGTCTTAGACACGGGGGGCGGGATTGCCGGCACGGAGATGTGCTCCGAAAAGAAAGCGAAACCAAGATACGCGTCCAAATTGAGCATTTCTTCGGAACGCCGTAAAATGCTGCGCGTGCCTCGATCGTACCATTGTAGCGTGGGTGTTTTTAGTAGTTTTCGAACATAACGGCAAGATTCTATTTGAAACCTGGCCCTTCAAATCAATAATGTGCAATTTATTCGTTCAAAATTACTTACCCAATTATATTGAACGCTAAACATTTTCCTTGGTGGCATGAGCAAAAGGCGTAAGGTGACTTTGTCGTAGAACCTATGAGCACGAGCATGTCCGTGCTCCCAGCCATATACACGCAGAGTGCGTGGTCAGGAGATAAAAAAAAATTGGTTGTCTGGTCCGGCAAATATGTAGCTCCCGCCGCACTGTCAGCTTCAAGGGGCCGTGCAAAGGTATTGGGTGTTGGGCTTTCTGCACCAGTGGGACCCAAGCACCGGTGTGCCCGTTACAGAAAACATGTAAGAAAATAGCGTCACTCGTTTGATCGTCAAAACTTTACGGGCAACTGAGATTCGTCACCGTCCTACGAACGTTAACGATATACCGTTACGGTTACTTTCAAACGAGAACGAACGTTACTTTTACGCCAATTTGAATTGCAATATCATTTGAGAGCGAAAGGCCAAGGATATGAACTCAGACAACCGTTTAACATCTTTGTAAGTTATTAGTTTGTAAGATTTGTTGCATGATCATTATTTTGAAAACTGGTTTTATTGACTGTGCTGTAGTAAATGTAGTAATTTTTTGCACGACCATAAGGGGTTTGCGATAAGCTGATTGAATAAAACACTAATTTGAGCAAAGAAGTCACCAGGTGTCGACAAATTTTCTCCCTCTCTGAACGGATACACTCTTGGGAGTATTTAAAGGTACTCCCAAGAAAATGGGGCATAATGCTTTAAATTACAGTATATCCCTTCTTGAGAATGCTGCAAAGGGCTCTCCCACTTAAATCTTTTAGAAAGTCGGCGAACCAGTGCGCTCTGTTGGGCACGCGCAGAGTGGATATTGCGAGCCGATTTCTCTGATTTTTTCATGAGTTTGTTCTGAAAGTACTTAAAACCCAGTTTCAAGCGCACTTAAAGCAGGGATATTAAAGGTGGGTCTCGAAGCGGTCCGTACATGACTAAATTGATAAAAAATTACTTACAAGGACAATATAACTAGGGTTATCTGGTGGAGAAATTTTAGGACCGAGTTTAGTGTAATTAATAGTAAAAGAGGCGACGCTCTTATGGGTGAAAAGAAGGATAGATCTATTCATGATAAGTCGAAGCCGCGGTGTAGGGAACACAAATCAGTAAGGACAACAGTAGGCTAACGACACATTCCGAACGTGATTAAGCGTGCAAACTGGGCTTAGCGACAGTTACTAAAAAAAAAGAAATTGGAACACTGATAAGGACGTATCGACCCTAATTGTAAATGTTCGTGACGACCGCAACCGCAGAAAATAGTTCCTCCTTCAAATTAGCCCCAAAGAAAAAAAAGAAAATCTTACTTTTTTAATATCCACGACTTTATACCAGGACCGGGGGTAGGCGACCCGTGATGCCGCCCAGGAAGTCATCAAAAGGGTTGCGCCGCTGCGACCCATTTGAAAATTTTTGTAGCTTACTAATTTATTTAAACACGGCGGTTCTTGTCAGAAAAAAAAAAAGAAAACTTGTTTTGGAACACTACTCACATGTTTACTGACTACGTGATGTCGTAGATAGGGGCGTATAAAAAAGCGAAGGGAACGGGGCGCCGGGGGCGTTACGGCAGGAGTTTGCCTAGGGTGCTTTATGCCGTCTGATGCCTGGTGTTGATAGGATCGGAGGAATAGCACCTTGCACCACACGCCCATTTTCACAAGAACAGAAGTTGCACAAAAATGGGGCGACTAGCAGAAAATCCACTTGGCGGCACACACAGAGGGGCCACCGTGACGAGCGCTCTGACCAGCTCCTGAAGACTGCTTTCGTGTACCGGCTGAGGCTCATACTGGAGAATTCCTGAATCGCCCTTCCCATTTGAACCTGTCCCTTTTCAACCCGTTCCCGAAACGCCTTTACGTTTGCGCCCGTCCCGTTAAAACACATTAGTATAAATCCACGCACATCTCACCCTCTCCGCGAAAAGTCTCCATCGTTCTAACCCTGGTTTGCTCACATTTTCTCCTTAAAAATAGGTGCCGAAATTTCGTTAACGCAATTAAAGCAAAGGTGCCGGCGAGCTATTTATTTATGTTGTGAACTAGTTTTTATTGTCAACGTATTCTTAAGATATACATCACTTTCAGACAAGCTCCAACGAAAGATATTTCTACTTGAACCACTTGAAATGTTTCTGTCAAGATGGTCCCCAAAATGTGGGACTACGAAACGCGACAATGTTACCGCGAACACGATGCAGACGATTGTTTAAATGTTACTTCGAAATGGTGTTAGAAGGCACCAAGTTGTATACCGCTTAGCTTAGTGGCCCAGATGAGCACTTTCAAAGACACTAATAATATTGATGGCAGTCATTTCATTCTTTCAGACAAACTGCGAAAAACTACAATCGCTTGTTCGCGCAAACAGTGACGCGCTCAAGCACTTTGAGTAAACAAAAATTAGCGCTGCCTTAGGTTTTATAATCGCGACGCTATTTTTAGGTTTCCCAAAGCGCTTACGCACGTTATTCTAAAACTTCCTTATAGTGAACGGGATATTTTGAAGAGTGAGAAATTAGACAAGTTGACAGGGCATAAGATTGCGACTTCATTTTCTATCGAGTTCAAACACGAAACCCTCGCTCTCACAGGAAAGTTCATAATCTACAAAATGCTATCGCCTTTGTTGAGGACGTCGAGCAGGAAAATCGCACCATCTGAAAGGCTGCACTCCGATTTTGATAGTTCGCGGCTGTCCCCTGGCCCGCACGGCACCACTATTTGCAAGCTGCTGCAAAGGTACCCTTGTCAAGGTTGATTAACGTACAAGTTTGGGCTACAATTGATATGCAGACATAATTAAAAACAAAATGGCGCAAATACGATGGGCAAAGTAAAAGATAACCGACAGGACACAGTGCTGTATCCTGTCGGTTATCTTTTACTTTGTTCTCGTATTTGCGTTGTTATATTTTTAATTATGTCTCGTGAAGGCCTCATCCCGTTTGATCAGATCGATGAAGCTATTAATGTTCGGGTGAGCTCTCCCTGACACAGCTTTTATCTTACGGTGCCGTGTCTCCAACGTTGTTTCGGGAGAGGGAGAAGTGAGGTGGAGCAAGGAGGACAGACATTGGACACTTGAACCTAACCAACTGTTAACGAGC